ATTTATCTTATCCACGTTTCCATTGTGGATCTACATGAATTATATATATACAGGGCTGCCTCACTTATCGCAAAGGTTACAGGCATGAAACTCGTTGCGAATATCGAAATTGCGAATAGCGGAGCAATTTCTCCCATAAGAAATACAGTGGGGTATGCTATAACGAACGGATCCTACTACGAATATTCCTATAATGAACGGTTTTACCTATAAAATTGAGAATGCTATAACGAACGAAACTCCTACAACGAACATTATTTAAATTTTTTTTTTTTTTTTCTAATTTATTGTTTTTTTATTACAAATATTAATGATATTCTTTATTTCAGGGGTTTAGATGCATATTTATGCACTTTTTTACAATTTTTACAATTTTATATTATATTTTTCAGTGTTAAGTGGTTGTATTTGGGGGCCTGGAACGGATTAATCCTATAACGAACGAATGCTATAATGAACAAGGTTCTAGAACCAATTAGATTCGTTATAGCATACCCCACTGTAATGTGAATAGGGGGGATACTGGCATCGCTGTGGTCACAGCCGTCAGAGTTTAACACTTGTTTTACTCATTACATATAGAACATAAAATAGATAAAGAAACAAGGGCATAACATCAAATAAACATCAATAACAAACACTTTGAGTTTATTTGGCATATATGTTTACAAGTACAGTATACTTTACATGTTTGAGTGTGTGAGACGGTGAGTGTTTGAATGTTTATGTGCGTAGGTGTGTGAGGTAAGTTTTAAACGTAGACTGTTAATTTTCCTCTTATGTGCTGTGTTGCTTGCTTGCTGAAGTTGGCATTAGGGGAGAGGGTGAAGGTTTATTGGGGTGAGAGGAGGCTGGGGTCCTCAGCCACCTCACTCTCCTCACTGCCAGGGTCCTCAGCCACCTCACTCTCCTCACTGCCAGGGTCGGCAGCCACCTCACTCTCATTTTCGCTGTCAATTTGCACTGAAAACTGTTGTTCTCCACTGGTTGAAGGCTGTGGTTCACTTGTTGAAGGCTGTGGTTCACTTGTTGAAGGCTGTGGTTCACTTGTTGAAGGCTGTGGTTCACTTGTTGAAGGCTGTGGTTCACTTGTTGAAGGCTGTGGTTCACTTGTTGAAGGCTGTGGTTCATTCGTTGAAGGCTGTGGTCTTGAACAGCTGCCTAAAAGCTGTGTTCTGTTTGGATGTACATGGGGTGGTTGGTGCACCGGGGCTTGATGGTTTGGCTGTGATAAATGCATCGAGTCATTTGTTGTGCATTCTTCCTCTTCTCCTCAACCACCTCGTAGTATGCTTGTATGTCTTTCTTGACATTGCGGATGATAGTGCAACTTCGGT